AATGATCAACTGCTCCTAGAATGCTCTGATATTCTGACAAAATACAATGAATGGAGACATCGGAAGCTGTCAAGTATCAATTTTAGATTTTGGGACTTGATCTTAAATGATTTTATTAGCCCATTACTCTCTCATGTCATAGCAATTCGTTCCGGTGACTACGACGCTCGTTTAGAAGCATGGCTATGCTATACAAAGTATTTCTTTATTTTTAATCATTACAAATATGCAAAAATGGCATGTTCGTATATTTTTGAGTTACAAACTACTTCAACATATTTGAAAACCAACTTAAAAAATCTGGTGTCAGCTTCAGTCACCGGAAAACCATTCACAAAATTAGCTCTTGATGAAGCTATCGAGTGTACTATAAACAAGGAGTCTAAATCGAAAAGTGGAATTTCCGGACGAATGGATAATGATCATCTACACGGATATTATAGATCCTCATGCCTTTCTGCTAAGATGTTAAAAACTACGGAAGAATTATTGGACATTGAACATCGAGGAAACGAGCTAAATATCGAGAATACTATATCTCGCATTAAACGTGATAACGATGATCTGAAGAAAATCTTTAGTTCAGTCAAAATTAATCCATTCCTTCTTAAGAACGATGCAAACTTCATTCGCCTATCAACTGGAGTGATTATCCCCAACGATGTCGTTAAAGAGCTCATTAATGCTACAGCGATCGGTGAAGAACAAACTGTTAATTTCATAACAAAAAGAATAATAGAAAAGTCTGTAAAATACAATGATAGAATTCCACAAAATAGAATTAGAACTTTGTCCAGTTGGCAACAAGTCCCTCGAGTTATCAAAGAGAACCCTGATAAAAAGAAAAAAATTAACATATTTTTATCAACTATAGCAATTGTGAAAACACACAGAGTTATTGATATGAATTATATTTTTAAATATGAGTTTACTGAACAACCTTTATCACTTGCAAATGAAAATGGAATGTTATATCACCCAACAGGAAAAAGCTTACTTACATCGTACTTTGAAGAATTGTTTCCTCAACACGTACATAATGGTGTCTTTCCAATAACTGGACAAACACATTACTTAATTGATGGCTATGATCTGTTATCAACAACTCCTCCAATAAAAGCTACTACATACGAAGAATATGGCAAAGAGCTGATGAATAATATTGTTTCTCTATTTGATCGGATGCAAAGAATCGATATAGTTTTTAGTTCTGACCAACAATGCCAGTTTACAGATTTTTTGACTTATTCCTCCCTCAAATCAGATGTTGTGAAAGCTGTCGTTCGACCAGAGTTCAAACTCACGACACAAAAACCAAAAGCTTGGCAAGACTTTATAGCATCTAATGAAGGAACTATTGCTGAGTGCTGTAAAAAGGTTAGTACCATTAAAACTTTCATCACCAAATACGAACATCCCTGACTCCGAAAAAAAACGATATGAAGCTATGCTGACAGAAGAGTGAGAACTAAAAAACAACCGCCCTTAACATAGAAAAAACTTTCGACGATTTCGTTACCTTAATTGAACGCGAATAATAAAAAGTGAATACGGTCTGTGCTTGCAGCTGCGCCCAGGACCGTAATAGATAGGATCTTTTCCGTGGCGCTAAAATACGCAGTCTGCGAGTGGATTAACTATCAAAAAATAACAACAACGGGTCGACCCTGTAATTTTCTTTTGCAAAATACTGCGGTAAAATCGATAAAGTAATGAATAAAAAAGTGTATTTTTTGATGATTTAATGAATACTTAATAAAACATCATACAACTTGAAGGAATTCGTGTCCTTTTTTGGTCACCTAGTAAGCACAACTAGATCAAAAAAGGAGGATCATGGCAGCTGAATATGCGTGTCCGCAGAGACAACAGATAGTCTATTACGATCTGCACAAAACTTCTATAAACTTTACGTCTGTTATTACATTTTATACCTTCGAAAACTCTATCGTTTTTCGAGAAACAAGAAAATCTTGATTTGCCAGATAGTTACTTTGCTTTTTTCAACAAAAGAAAACAACACGCAACACCTCCATTACAACATTACAATTTCCTGCCTCATTACAAAGAAACTAATACACTTACTCGACGTTCAAATATTTTCATTAATGCATAATTATGAATGATCAGTAAAACTAAACGAGAAAAAGCAAAAAAGAAAGTGTAGTAACATAAAGTAGAGAAAAATCTAAGGCAATCGATACTAAATTACCTTCGTAACTTCCAAGGCCAAATGCTAAACATATAGAAAGAAAAGAATAACATATTTAGTAAAATATCATATTCCAGTTTACATTTTATCTAGACATCCTCAACAGACGACTTCTTCTAGCAGGATCATTGGAACGGTCCTTCGTAGTCTAGTCTTTGACGAGAAAAGTCCTCGTATATTTCACGATCTCAAGAATTTATTTGACTTATTTATATTTGGTGTAGTTTCTACCACATGATACCTACGGGTAAAGAACTACTTGTATCGAGCCCAGATGAACTGTCAGTTTTAATTAAAAATACTGGTACATTCAACTGCGATCAATTAAGGTCAAGTCATATAGAATCAGCCACGCGCCTCCTTCAAAATGCGTCCGAAAAACTAGGACAGAACTATAACATTACCATCATTAAATCAACAAACACGGATCTTCTACTATTGGCGATCTCAGTAATGAATACTAGTAATCCAACATGGGTAGATGTTAGTCCAGGTAATTCGAAGAATGAAGTAAAAACACTGGACGTCGCTGAAATATATCGAGAGTTTTTCATCAGATATATGGTGCCGAATGAAATATTATTAACTCTACACGCCTTATCAGGAACCAAGTTAACATCACACATACGCGGTATCAGCAAAAAAACAATCTTCGAAGCATTTTTAAATAATACNTCAGTAATGAATACTAGTAATCCAACATGGGTAGATGTTAGTCCAGGTAATTCGAAGAATGAAGTAAAAACACTGGACGTCGCTGAAATATATCGAGAGTTTTTCATCAGATATATGGTGCCGAATGAAATATTATTAACTCTACACGCCTTATCAGGAACCAAGTTAACATCACACATACGCGGTATCAGCAAAAAAACAATCTTCGAAGCATTTTTAAATAATACAGAAAAATTCGAAAAACTACAAGAGTTCGGCAGATTTCCTTTATCAGATGGCGCAGTAGATGCGGCAGAACGGCTATTGCTGAATGCGGCAAAAAGTACGCAAGAAACTCTCGATAATGCCCGTGGAAAAGCCGCATTAAGCTATATGAAAAAGGGAGACTTCAGTGATTTATTATTAAAGCTGTTGCCTACATCGAATGCCTGGTTACAACATTGCCAACGAGCTAATGTAATGATCAATATTTGGGGCCATGCATTAGAAACGACGTATGTAACTCCTCAATTACAAAATAACGGATTCATTCTACAAGATGAAAGTTTACAAGTTCAGTGGATATCGATTCCGACATGGCCGCAAAACATAGCGGGATTACGAGTGTGTGTGTGCGAAAAGGGAGATTGTTCGCGTTGTTCATGTCAAAAACAAAAATTAAACTGCATCCCTGACATGTGCAGTTGTAATCCTACAATTTGTACTAGGAGGTAGGAATGTTCGCAGGTAGGAAGACTTCTTTATGTTATGCATATGAGTGAAACTGGAAGACTTTTAGTCATGGCACGCAAAGAACAAGTCCGACTTGAGACAAGCATTTTACTGAACACCCTCTTTTTATTAGAATGAGGACATTTCTTCGTTCTCACTTACCTCTAACTCAATATAATGCCAATCTAATTACATATTTTTTTAACGAAATATCGATCGTGTTTTTGTTCATTAATAATTTGATAAATTTATTTGCTACTGCCGCTGTTGTAGACATGTAAATGTAAAAGAACGAAAACAATTTTGATTTATCACCTTTTATATAGAATCGTAAAACTGTCGAATGAAATAAATGACGATTCGCTATGACAGTAATCTAAAACATAAAAAGGTAAATAAAAAAGATCACAAGCAATATTATCTATTCGCTGAAAGTGCCAAGAAATGAACGGCGCTGTCTTAATATACATTTTTTTTTGTTTAGAAGACAGAAGTTTTTCTACCGGAATGTGTTCACGAGATAGAATCTGTTATTACACTATTACAGTAACGTACAAGCACTTATACCTGATAATCTTGTTTTATTGTTTTTCAGAGCTCAATTCATACCTCTTTTAAGTTTCATTCTTCCAGTTCATATGTTTTCTTTATTAATAAATTTGCTGGTCTAAAAGCATCAGCTTTAGACCAACAAAATAAAACTTCACAACAGCTTATCCGCATGTTTCGGTTTTTTTCATTGAAAGTAGAGGAAGGGGTTCAATCGTGCCAATGAAGACAGCACAAATTAACTATGAATATGAATACCGGCATATTTGCTAGTTTTATTTCACACAGAAGATCCGAACTATTCCTTCCTGCATAGTGAAGCATTCTCAGTTCACTCACAAGAAAAAAGAAAAAATACACATTCTAAACTTTCCTAAAGCCCAATTTGATTCGATTGAGTTCCGAGAAAATTTACATCTTTAATTAGCCTTAAATCGGAGCGAATAGCTTCGAGACAATGCAGTTCGATTCGCTTAAGGAAAACTTTATCTTGTCGGAGAGATTACCCATAAGCAGAATCGCAACGTCTGCAATAGCGTAAGAGCTAAATTTCAGTAGCCTGTTTATATTATCCATTCGAATTGTCGCTGCTCTACTACAGTTTGCAGACAGTTACAATCTAAATGACTCCATTTTTGTTTCTTTGTTTCTATTTTTTTCCATCGTTCTCCGCCATTATTGTAGTTGCAATCATAGAAACATACGCTACCTACAGACATTATCTCAGAGAAGTGCAGAATGCATAGAAGTCTAAGTTGAGAAGCCGTGTATTTCAAGATCTTGTATTTTAGTCATTGAT